CCCCCCTCCTCCTCCTCCTCCTCCTCCTCCTCAAACAATTGAGTTTCAACCCTTCTATGTACGTGTTGAACTTATCCATGTGAAGTAAAATGGTGAAATTTTTTTGTTTTCAGTCTATCTTACTGCTCTCTTTGATGTTACTGTTTTTTGGGTATCTTCACCTTGGATACCTTCTAAGTCTTAAGAGTCCATAAAGGTGTGATGGCATTGCCCAATAAGCTGTTGCCTGATACTGACAAAGAACTGATGGTGTAGAAAGTGACATGGATCCTGCTTGTTTGGCCGACGAAGGATTTCTGTTGTTGATAGCCCAACTTGTTCTCTTTCGGCACATGTGACTTTATGGCAACTATGTGAGCTGCAACTTGTGCCGGTAAGCTTTTCTAGACTCTTCAAGTAGTTCTAAACTTAATTTCCTTTTTCCATTGGAGTATTCTTATATATCCCATGACTTGCAAAAGAGGGAAACAACATCAGGCACATTGCATGCAATCCTTCCCCCCCTCCCTTTTTGCAGTGCACTGACTTCTAAGCACAGAAAAGTAAAGCAGTGATATCTCTGATTCCCCTTCCCCATACCCGAGCGTTCTTTCTTCCTTTTTCTTTTCTTCATTTTAATTTCTTTCTGTGGAATCATTAGTAAGATATAGTGCCTTGTTTGAAATGCCTTTACATGACAGATACGAACAGGAAAGTATGATAATACCTTTTTGGGATTAAGAATCCATGACAAGGTGGGATTGATGACTTTTATTTCCTTCTCTTTTTCATTTGGCTTATTGTTTTCATGGCTCCTCCAAAGCAAATGGTTTCTTTTTCAGGCTTTCAAGGTGAAGAAGAGTCTAAACAGTAAAACAGTCTCTCATAATCTCTTTTTTTCTACACACTTAAATGTTTTTAGTATCTTTCAGTGGGAGAGTTGTCATTTAATATTTAATGTATTATCCTTAGAACTTAACATAGATAAAATGCTATCCATAGGACAACTTTTCATTGAATAACATCATGGGATGTCTCTATGAAAAAGAAAATGTACAGATACTTTGCAAATGACTGGTTATTGATCTTCATATATACTTCCAAGGGTATTTTTATTCCTCAACCTACAAATTTATACACTAATCTTCTTTGTGAGCAGATGTTTGCATAATCCAATTATGTTGCAGCCAAAAGATGGAGAAGAAAAGCAAAAGCAAAGTCGGCAGATTAGAAAGAAATTGATTCTGTTGCCTTTGGTGTCACAGTCCATGCTCCTGTCCACTTGTGAACAGATAATACCAACAAAATGCTTACTTTTTATTTTGCACCAATTATGTTAAAATATTCTCTTGGTGCACATTCTATTCCCTCTTCAATGCTAACGTGTCAAATTTGGACCCTAATTTTTTAATTTTCCAACAATTTATTATAATAACTTAAGCGAATTCCAATTATACTTAATAATATTTATTTCCTCTCCTTTTCAATTAATTAAGGGAATTCCATTTTCACTTGCCTTTTAAATTTATTTTGAATCTCCACAATTGACCTATTATATGTGACTTGTTCATGTACATATTTATCAAATGATTTATTTTAAAAATAATCATGAATGAAAAAATTGATTTTATATGCTAATGTTTGGAAGAAAAGTATGATAGTTATTAACATAAATACTATAATATATATGACGTTTTAGGTTGAAAAGTAATACGGTCCTGAAAATTAGGCAACTTTTGTGAACACCTTTTGGAAATGGGAAACACATAATTTTTTAAAGAAATAATAAATACATATATGATAACATTGGTGGTCCCCACCTAATCTTAATTTTATGTAATATTTATTTATAAAAAGGAAAAAAAGAAAAAGAAAATGGAGATGGCATCCCATGCGTCTCAATTTGTTTATGGGCCCTAAGAGAGTACAAGTGGCACTGTGTGGGCCCTACAGAGAGTACAAGTGGCACTGTTTGGGCCCGCATTTCATTTCATTTGTGGCTTCTCAAACCCCAAACAACCACTTTCCTTTTTCTTTTTCTTTTTCTTTTTCTTTTTTCTTTGTTGAAAAACAAATTGTAATCCTAAGTTTACATTTTATTAGAAAAATATTTTTAAATATGAAGAAAAGAAATTCTATTAAAAAAATATTTTTAAATATGAAGAAAAAACGTCATTTACAATATAAGAAAAACGACACTAATTTTAAAAGATTAAATTCAAATTTTTCTTTTTTTTTTTTCTAAATTAATTGAGATAACAATTTAATTTATAAAATAAATGATAGAGAAAAAGGAATAAAATAAGTAATAAGGAGGTAGACAAATTTGAATTTGTTGACAGCCTTCATTCATTCCACACATCCCTTCCCCTCGCCTACTTGAATACTGCCAGACTGTCCATGCGCCACTACAGCCGTCCGATCACCCTTTCAATCCTCAAACGTACACGTGTCAATCACCCCACCGCTTACTCCGCCTTTATTCTTCCACTTCAGTATCACAAACTACTCTGTACAACCTGTCCAAAGCTACACACGTGGCACCTTTTCATTCGCTTTTTTTTTTTTAAAATACCTATCATATTGACAATATCTCGCGTGAAGTTCTCGCGTTTTTTATCATCTCGTATTCTCGTTCGTTTCTCGCGCGGTGTTGCTGCCGAGACTATGCTTATTGCATCTCCCTGAGTTCCCAACCTGGGAAATGATCGAACATCGGCCCAGAAATTTCTATCGAATTTACGAAATCTGCCATTTAGATTGAACAGAACGAGAAACAAAAAAAGATGAACACGAAATCGAATTGAATATTGAAGAGACTTACAAATAATCTTCTATTTTTTTTTTTCCAGAAACCAGAGGAGAGAAGGAAGAAGAAGTATGGATGGCAGCAGAAATATAAATCGAAAAATGAAAAATGAAAAATAAAAGAGAGAAATCATAATTATCAATCAAACACGATGATCGTGATATTCGACGACAAATTCCTCGCTTCCTCTGTAAAGATCTGCAATCTCCAAGGGAAAGCCTCCAGTATTTGTGACCTTCATTTCAGCAGAAATATTGTTCTACTCTTGCGAGTCCACGATCTTAAATTTCACATATCAGATCAAATATGATTGTTCCGTCTTTTTTTTTTTTTTTTTTGGCCTTTTTATACATATTAGACTCTAACGATCTTCGGTGCTTTGACGACTGGATTTTCCCTTGCAATCACGTCGCGACCGGCGGCCTTGTAATCGAAGCTGCAGTCATGGCGATCGGAGTACCGGTGCTCAGCGCAAAACAGCTCTCCGCATCGGCACCGGAATCCGGTCAATCCGACTCTCTTTCTGCATCCGGAGCATCGATTCACCTGGCGCTTGGCAGATTCTTCAGATTTCAACCGATCCAAGGACATATTCCTGCTACTATCGCGAACGGAATCCATTAGCACAGGCGATCGGGATCTAGATCTCGAACTTTTCACCCCTGACAACTTTCGAGGCGCCGATATTCCAGTATTCGAAGAGGACGTCGTCGTCGTCGTTGTTGCTGTCGCCGTCGCTGTCGCCGTCGCCGTCGTGGCGTTAAAGCACTTCTGGCACATGTTATTGGTGGTCGGATTACCGGTGAATCCGCAGTTGTTGACGCACAAGGTGATGGTCTCCGGCACCTTCAACTCCGTCTCCTCCTTCTCGGTCCTCTGAGCCATATCTCCTATCGGATTCACCGCAAGATTTACAGCAACAACAAACAAATTCAGAAGAAAAACTCTACGCTATAATTTGGGGATTCGTCGAAAGACGAAGCGAGTAGCGGTAATATGAAGGAACGAAAAGGGGGTCGCAAAATGGCGATAGAATATCGGCCTCATACACGCGCATCAAACAATTTCTCCTTTTTTTCCTCTTTGACATAAATACCCTTCTCTTATTTTGGTATTTACCCTCCAATCCCTGTGGTCCAGGATTAACTCTGACGTTGCAGCCCTTCGTTAAAAGGAAAAGTATTCCCTGTGGTCCTTTCTATTTTTATTTCTGTGGGTCCGCTTCTTTTTCCGCATGATTATTTTTCTTAACCGCCGCTGGATGCTCATTGGATGCGCCTACCAAAGTCAATACGTACTTCATTTCCACTATTTTTAATTTCATTATTTATCCCAAACCCTTACAAAAATAATAAATAAATAATCAATCTTTAGATTAATCCATTTTTAAAATATCAAATAGACTTCAATTTTTTATTTTATTTTAATTAGCCTTAATAATAATATTATTATATAATTGAATTGTAGGTTAATCCAACGTTAAATTTTTAATTTTATTAACATATTTTTTAAAACATATAAAATTAACTATATTCATGCCGAATTAAATATTTGTATATATACAATTATTTCACGTTTTATCTTTTTTTTTTTTAATTAAACTTACTGTATGATCGATAATACATGTGTTTATGTCCGTTGAAATATGTTCGTTTTGATATAGTATATTCTTTCATATTTTTTGGTTTAATAAATTAATAGTTTTTTTTCATAATTGAGTCATCTTAATCAAACGTCACAACACATCTCAATCAGTACAATCTATTGATTTCGACATTATACCAATTTTGTAGTAAAATTTATCGTTCTCGTAAATTAGCATTTTTTTTTTCAATAACCCCTTATTTAAATTGGGGTTATAATCATATAATAGTATTATAACTTAAAAAATAATAATAATAATGGATGCGTGTAATTTAGTAAATGAAAAGCTTGGGTTTGTGATAATTTTTTTGACCTAACTCCTTTATTAAAAAAATAAAGAAATATAATCAATATTTATAAAAACAATAATGTTTATTGTAACTTTTAATAAAATATAATATATATTTTTTTAAATAGTGAAAAGATTCACACTTATTTTAATTGATTTTTTATTAAAAGATGTAAATATATCAATAATGGATAGAGATAACATATTAAAGAAAATCAGTTACAGGTCGAAGGGCAAATAGGTAGTTGCACATAGTACACGCGGAGCCAGGTGGAAGCCGCCCTATCTGACCGCAAAGCAGCGGAACATTTCTCTGCTTTCGCTTTTAGGAAAGGGCATTTTGGTCATTTGGCTCTCTGTCACCATTCACCGGGCAGGGGTTCTTTTTTCTTTTAATTTTTCTTTTCTTTTTCCATATTGGCACGTGAAATACACGAGCCCCTTACACGCGTCTCCCACTTGTTCCTCACAGTTAAAACTGAAAAAGTCTTTACACGCCAAAAAAATCTCTCACAAAACCAAAATTGAATCTCCAAGCATACCTTTTATTTTTTAAAAATAAAAATAAAACGTGTTTTAACTTTTTAATTAATTAATTAATTAGGATGAGTTGACCCGTCACTAAAAAATAGTTTATATAAATTTAATAGAAAAAAAAATATGAAAAACAATAGCTTATATTCTAGGTGAATTATACGAAATATTAAATAAATTTGAAATTTTTTAGACACAGAATAATTAAAAAAAAAAAAAACTAAATTGGAAGTTAACTATGGGTTAATTTGAAATATAAATAAAAAATATAAAAATTATTAGGGTTGAAAGGGAAAGGTTGTGGAAATAGTTGAGAAAAGTGGAAAAATAAAAAGAAAAATAAAAAAATAAATATATAAAGGTTATATTAGAATTAATGAATTAATGGAAGCTGCCGTCCATTAGTGGTAAGCATCTTAATTTAATTAATCCGCCTCCTAATTAATTCAATGTCCACGCTGGCCCCTGGCGGGGCCCACTCTTGTGATCCAGTTGTCAATTTGGCATTGGCCGTTGCTTTCTCCGTATGACCAAGTCAAACGTTGACTCTTTTTTTATTTTAAATAATAAATAAATAAATGTTAGTTATCCATTTCTCTTATTCATCTTGTCACTTCTAATTTTGTATGTTTGACTAAAATTCGACAAACCAAATTATTTATAATTTTACCAAATATTATTTTTTGTTATAAAACTAATTTCCATCGACATGTTGTCAAAATATTCCTAATTTTTAGGACAAACTATATATATAAAAAAAACCTATAAATTGGTTATTTATTTTAAAAATTATATTTAATTTTTCAAACGTGGATAATATATTGAATTTTTATAGACATTTCAAAAAATCCATGCTGGTTTGTCGTCCAACATTGGTCTACATGAGGTATAATAGCGATCCCTATTTTGGTCATTTGACGAAAGCAATTCCGATTCTTAAGAGTGTTTGAGAAGCATCTACAGCACTGTATCTAAATAAAAAAAGACTGGATATATATATATATATATATATAATCTTATTTTTCTAAATGTCTTCCCTTTCTATTTTGGGAGTATTAAAAAAAAAGGTGTAAAATAGAAAATTTGTTATATTAAAAAAAGAACTTACAAATTTTTATCAAATTGGATTACGGAAATGATGGGCCCAAATCTAAGCGGCCCATTAACTCTCACGGCCCGAAGCAATGGGATATACTATAATGGAATACGTATTTATGAGGTTCCATTGGCTAAACCCTTCCATTATTCATTTGTTTTATTTTTTCCGTTGATCTCAAATCCTTCTCCCTCAGCCATGTGTTCTGATAAAATCCGCTTTCCGTTGCGTTTCTGCGATTAATTTCCAGCAATTTACCCTGTGAATTGGTTATCTCTGTCGAGTTTCACACGAGTTGGTGGAACCGGCTAGGGTTCATGGAAGCTGCAATTCGTGAGATCAGTATTTGAGGGTTTGAATATATCAATTAAACTTTGGTGTTAAGTGTTCAGTTCGGTGTTCTGGATTGTGGAGGTTTGTGAAAAAACGCGCTGGAGATGGGGAGTGAGGATCGTATCGATGATCGGACGTTCAAGGTTGATTTCAGTGGCGAGGGAATGGAGAAGCTCAGAGAGAGGATAAAGCTGAAGATGAAGGAATTCATGGGCGATTATACCGATGATACTCTTGTGGTACGGACTATCCTAGATTTTTAACATTCACGTGCCTGAGAGATTTTTGCGAAACAATGAGATTATCGGTTTTGTGACGAGTCTGTCTAGGTGTTGTAGAAATTCTTTTAGGTTATTCATATGGAGCCAATTTTCTTCTTCGTAATTGGTTATTGTCGAATATGTCTGGTTGAATAAATGGAAAATACAGCAATCGCCGGTTATATATTTGCCAATGCGGAATGAAACAAAATTAATAGCTCTGATTCAATTTTTTTTAAATGATTATGTGCCTGAGGTAATTTTTCTCTTATTTACTTAGAAATTCATGATACGTAGATGGTTGATATCAAATAAGATGCATTCCAACTCAATGCCATAAATTACTCTTCATCCAAAGAAGACTGCATCTTTTAATGTGCAATAGCCTGCTTAAGAATTTGGTTAGATGTCATCCTGTTTATGTGTCCGCCCCTCTTTGAAAGGACCTCCCTGAGCTGGGTTAACGTGCAATGCAGCTGAGTTAATTCGTTTAGTTTTTTATGACTGGCCGTTTTCATTTTTCCTAAGAAATAAATACATTGGTTTAATGAGATGTCAAAAAGGAAGAATATAATTAGCATTAAAAGAAATAATGACAATAATTAGTTACCCTACAAGTATTACTCCTAAATGTGATGATTAAAAGAACATTTTCCTAAAACAATGAAGAAGAGTTGGCAATAATTTTAGAGAGACAAGAAATTGAGATTGAGCTAAGTGGACAGAAATCTTTCATACTCTTTGCATTAGGTTTCTTCGTCGAGGGATGTATTGAGAATATCCTTTTGAAAATACATCTTGGAATGCTCATAATAGCTTCCTTGAGGGTGTTTCAAGAGTTCTAAAAGAATTTAGTGGTGAAAACATCGGTTTTTTGTGCTTTCTTACTCCCCATATCTGAGATAGCTTGAATAATTTTTTCAACCTTAAAATTGGCCTCCATCTAAAGAAATCCTTATGGCCTCTAAGCTTGGACCCAATCTGGATTGGTTGGCATAAATTTTACCGCCTCTTTCTTTATGTATGGATCTGGGAGAAATCAAGAATTTCCTTTTCAATGTGCTGTGTAAACAGCCACTGTTATATACTCCTTCTCTTGATATGTCTCCTGTGAAATTGTTTAGCCTTTCAACATACATTTTTTTTTTCTGAAGTGCTGCTGGGTGAGATTGTGGAAACTTTCTTTCATGCATCTTTTGGTTTAATGTAGTGTTATACTAGTGTATTTTTTGTATGCATGTTTGTGTGTGCTTAAATTGTCTCTATGTTTCATTTTTTTAAAATATTAATCATGATGTGATTTTAAATTTCCTCCAATTACTGGAATTTAGAGCCTCTGTTTAAAGAGGTCAAATTTTATTGAACTTAATAAATGTTCTTTTGGGTAGGAATACGTGCTTGTCTTGTTGAGGAATGGAAGGCGCAAAGAAGAAGCACAGAATGAACTAAATGTATTTTTGGCAGATGATAGCCATTCTTTTGTATCTTGGTAATTTGATGCTCATTCTTCCTCTTGTTTATATTTGTAAGTTGGGTAGTAACTTTGTGTTCAGTCATTCTTGCAACAAGTTTGACCAATTCTTTTATAAGCGTCGTTTCAACAGGCTGTGGGACCATCTGGCTTCAAGTATGAATTTATATGTGGAACCACCTCCTAAATCTTCTGCCGATGAAGTGCCCATATCAAAGTCTCCAGTAGCAGAACCAGATACAGGAATTGGTTCTCACAATCTCGAGTCTGATTTAGAAAGAGGGAAGTCTGAAAAATTATCTAGCAGACGGCGTAATAGGGAATGGAAAGGAATTGCTAATGACGAAACCCGTGTTACTCCAAGATCTGAAGTTAGTCGTGTCAAGCATTCTTCTCCTGAACAAGTTCCT